TTCATACTCACCGCTGTGAAAACCTCAAATCTTACAAATATTTTACTCATTTCTAAAGACGCCATTCTGTGTGAGCGGCTGATTTTTAGGTAAAGTTGAGTAGCCCAGTACTAAAGACATTCAGATTCGTGATCTCCGGTCTGTTCCATCCGACAGGAAGTTTGTCATGCATACTTTAAACATGGCGTGTCTCCATTATCTGGCATTAATGACTGCGATGACTGACTAATGAACAGTTGCCTGATTCTTTTTATTCTTACTGTAGAAGGGAACATCTTGTACTTCTCCACCACACACTTGGAGGACAAACTCACTTTTTGTGATGTCAGTAGCAGTGTCACGTTATACGTGGCTTGCGGGAAATTTACGCATTTCTTGAGGATAATTCTCCACCCGCGAACCCACCGATATGTTTTGTGTGCCCCACTTACATTTTTATAATATTTTATCTCTCTTTATGATGAGAAATGATCACTTCATATCAGAAAATAAATATCTCAGTTATGATCGATTTTGTTAAATAAAGTTACAGAGCAATATGTAAACCTGAAGTTGATTTAATTAATTAATCTTGTCCGTCTAATCACAATTTAAAATTTAAAATTAAGATAGTTAAATCGAATGTTTCGATAAGGAGCATCACATGGTATTTTAACTATCTTAATTTTATATTTTAAATTGTGATTAGACGGACAAGATTAATTAATTAAATCAACTTCAGGTTTACATATTGCTCTGTAACTTTATTTAACGAATTTGATTCTTTTTCTGGATGTTATGCCGTGAATTTTCATAGATCTTTACCGACGTCGTTAAACTTCTTCCAGACTATTTTGCGCAACATTCCCGAAGACAGTAATCTTCATACTCGCCGCCGTGAGAACCTGCAGTCTTATCAATATGTGAACCCGTTTGGAATAATAGTTCTAAATTAGTGTAATTTTTAATAAATTGCCCTGGCATTTCAGTAAATTGTTCCCATTTATAACCCAGCGGTCCGCGAGTCGATAAGATAGGGCGAAACTGTAACCAGGTCTGGATGAGACAGAAAACCGCTGGTGTACGGTGTGTGATAAGAAAAGACTGATGTGTCCTTTAAGCCTTCTCAGCATCAGTAGCATGGCGCACCCCGTCGTCACAAACGAGACTCAGCCAACAATTCGTCATGTTATAACCATTAAATCTGGCGTGGAAAGAATACCACTACATAATTCCAGAACATCAAGTCGTGGAGGTTTATGCATTTCATCTGTAGAAGATTATTGGCTATTCTTTTATAACGGTACTCTTTCATTTACAGATGTTAAATAAGGTGGGTAGATAAACGTTATAGTACGTAGGCGTGGGTTTAGAATTTCAGAAATCGTGGCCTATTTTAAGGCAGTATCCTGACATTAAATTGATAGAGTGCCTTTGAATAAACGTGGTGTGGGCCGAGGTTTGAACCCGACATCTTCCAAAACATTTCTGAAGTATTACTGTCCGCCTCGTTTAAAATAAAAAGTAACTTATATCTTGTCGTTCTTTCACATACATCTGTTCAACCACCTTAAACATTAAATTAATCTAAATATTTAAAAACTTCAGTCCTTAACTTAAAGAAAACACAACGCGTCACCATTACTAGCATCAGGAACGTGCTTTATGGTTCCATGTACTTCCAAAAATTTAGTGGTAAAGTTTTTTGTTTAAAAATATATCAAAGTGGAGGGGTATTTTAAGCAATTTCTTTATTATGTGGTTCAGACGTAACTCAGTAGCTGATACAGTGATTTTTATTATAAACAGCAGCAGGTTGTATCAGAATACAATCCGTGAATTATTGTAAATTGCATAGGAATGTTATGTGCCTTTTTAATATTCCTGTTTCCGACATTATTTAGTATATACAGTGGTCCAAGAAGTCTGTGTAGACATTATAATACGGTGGCTGCCTTTCAATCAGTTTCTCATCGCTGTCAACTGTGCCACGAAGTTAACGGTGGTCATATTGAACACCTACACTGAGATTCGTTAATTCACTAAGTGGTAATGCTGACCTATGTAACGGTTAATTATTAAAATGTCTTTTCTTACATTTAAAGAATCCTCCCTTTAAATCGTCCACTAATTTATGGGCACCGATATAAATCATATTTATATCACCATAAAAATTTAAACATGAACCGAAATTGCATTATCACAACACCAACTTTAAATCTTTGAACTCTGAAATATAAAGTCTTCTCGTTTAAAATGTGAAGAAAGTATTTTATGAAAACCCCTAGATATTATTAATGTAAATAAAAGTAATAGACTATACAGTACATAATCCTGGAAATGTATTTAAAGAACTGTAGAATTTTTGATTTGAAGTGAGACTTACCATAATTCGTACTTCTTGGCAGTTCGTAATGAAAATAAATGTAGTAGTAGTTGAGAAATTTAGAAAAACCCCAAACCGAAAAAATCTGTATGGTCATGAGCGTCCTCGATGTTGAATGACATGCTTATGAGGTATGCAGTATCGCGAAAGAGTCTTTGGGAAATACGTTTTATCATGGTTTTATAATATTCTTTCGACACATTTGTATCATTCTTATGTTATTCAGAGGAGCTGTGGACGGTGTTTCTGAGCATGAAAACTCGTTAATAGCATGGATAGGGTGAGATTAACCGGAGTTACTAATACATATATCTAAGAAGACAAAATGAAACAAATGGAAATGGTCAGTCGCGAATGAGACATTAAGTGAACATCGCTGATAACACTTGTGGGCATAATCCATCTCGTATTCCCAGTATTATTGAAATGTCGGTGTGTGCACATTTCCCCTTTATTTCGGTCCGAGAGATGTGACATGACTAGCGGCAGATGAAACAAAGAAGCTGATTTCTGGCAGCAGTTTGCTTCAGCCAACACTTGGCTTAGTTTCATTTCTCACTGATGTGGACATTTTGAAATAAACAGGACCTGCAGACGGTTCCGTATGGCGTCTCTCATCTCTTGGTGTCAGGATGAATTTTATACCCAGTCACTTTGCTTGCGATCTCATATACAGGGTGCTGAAAAAAATAGATCCAAGTAAAATACAGTGCGTTACAGAAAGTATTCGCCTATGTTTTGGACAGTAATCTTCACGCATCTTACAGTATCTTTAAGTTTAATATTAATGTCTGTAATAGGAATAAAAACACGTAGTCTATGCAAATACTTGTAAGACACTTGGCTTGTCATTGCATTAAACAGCTTTTAACGGAGAATAATACTACTGAAGAAAATGAGCCGGGTGAGAGCAGTCATTATAGTGTCTGGTTAAGGACTGGATGGCTCGTGTTCGATCCCCTGCGTGGATAAAATGGTAAAGGTATCAGAGAAAACCGAAGAATCTCAATAATGTATGATTTGAGGTTTTCACAGCGGTGAGTATGAAGATTTCTGTCTTCTGTGTTGTTGCGGTGTGTATTCTGGTCGATGTTAACCAACGTTTCGGAGGTCATACTGCCTCCATCATCAGGGCGATGAGTATGAAGATTTCTGTCTTCTGTGTTGTTGCGGTGTGTATTCTGGTCGATGTTAACCAACGTTTCGGAGGTCATACTGCCTCCATCATCAGGGCGATGAGTATGAAGATTTCTGTCTTCTGGGTTGTTGCGCTGTGTAGTCTGGTCGATGTTAACCAACGTTTCAGAGGTCATACTGCCTCCATCATCAGGGCGATGAGTATGAAGATTTCTGTCTTCTGGGTTGTTGCGCTATGTAGTCTGGTAGATGTTTACAAACGGTTCAGAGGTCATACTGCCTGCATGAATCGCCCTGATGATGGAGGCAGTATGACCTCTGAAACGTTGGTTAACATCTACC